ACCTCCAGGCTTCTGAACCCAGACAAGAACTTACCAAACTGTGTGGAAATAAAAATCTGGTTTTCTCCATAAGAGACACCAACCCCCGGAGATCCCCACCCTCTGTGGGTGAGAAACATAGGTGACACAAGTGCAGTATACCCTGCCAGCCAATTCCACACCTGGGCCGGGACTCCATGCATGTCAAGCTGTGTGCTAATGGCCCCTTCCCACAGTGGAAGAATATATATATACACCTCCACCCTCTTTTTTTTTTAAAGGAGAACTATGTGGTTAAGGCTTTTCCCCATAGGTCTCCTTAGGGTAACGGGAGGACACAAACTAGCGTCCTCCCGTCACCCTAGGCTCAGTATACCGCGAGCTGTAGCCGGGATCCGCCCAGCTGCGTGACTAACAGCTGGCTCTATCTAGAGGCAGAGCCAGCTGTACCCGCCCCCTCCCCCGTCCGTTCTGCCAGTCAGCGCTGGCGGATCGGAGCGGGGAGGAGGGAATCCAGCCCCTCCCCTGTCACGGCAGAGAGCCGTGACAGAATCAAGAGGTGAGCGAACGCCGGTATGTGTTCGCTCACCTCCCGATCTACTGAGCCGACCTGTGACAGTCTCAATGTCACAGGTCGGCTAGAACTATGAGGTGAGTGAAAAGCACCTCACCTCATAGTTCTCCTTTAAGTCTGCTAATGTTTTTTTGACAGTCCCCTGATCCCACAGCTAATATTGCAGCCTGATCTTCCAGTACATGTGCCAGGTTCACCAACCTAAACCAGACACTGCGGGTACAATCCATTTATACATTCTAACATTGTGTTATGTACAAAGGACAAATACTGTAAAATACATTGTGACTCACACACGTCTTCTGAACAACTTCTGTTTTCAGATCTGCCTTGTCCACAAGTCGGAAAGATCGTCATTCCCAAACTAAGAGGAGGTAAAGAGACCAGTCTGACCTGCAATATCTCCGAATATTTCCCAGAACTTCTGACAGTGAGCTGGTTTAGGAAGGAACCCGGAACAGATTTCAATCCCATTATAACACAACTGACTGAATATGATTTCCAAATCTGTAACAAGCAGAAGAAAGATAAGACCTTCTCCTGTCAATCATCGCTGACATTCACCCCGTCATTCAGCAGAGACCAGGGGGCAGAGTTCATCTGTAGAGTGGACCATCCCACCCTGGAGCACCCCATAGAGAAGACCACGGGTCCCATACACATGGATAAACTCTCAATGAATCAGACTTAATAAAGGAAACAGCTTCTGTATATTAGTCTAAATGTCCCAAATTACTATATGATGTGCAAGTCAAATTAAGTATATAAAAACCTTCCCTGACTGAGCCGAATCCACCCCTCCCCCTCCCAGTCACTGCAGATCACAGTGGGAGGGTTTCAGCAACAGAGGCAGAGCTTTCAATCCAGTGGGCAGTGCTAGGTGTGGCCAGGTGCTATTAATAAGACACAGGCTCAATGCTGAAAGCCACGTCCCCTGCGACATTTTTTAATTGTACTGCAGTGCAAACAGGCATAGCCCACATGAGAGCGACAACTCTGCCCTGAATTCAGGAGCAGTGCAGTACTGTTGTCACCCAATCACAGGAAGCTGCATTAGGTGGCGGGACCAACAGATATTTTTTTTACTTTGCAGTTTGACTAAGAGAAATATGGGGTTGAGGTCAGGACTCTGTGCAGGTCAGTCAAGTTCCTCCACCCCAAACTCCCCCATCCATGTCTTTATGGACCTTGCCGTGCAGCACTCGGCTCGGTCATTCTGTTTGCGAGGTTGTGACTCACTCTGCCCATTTGTTTAGAGATCTGCTTCATCAGCTTCTCTCCAGCTTTTGAAGCTGGACAGTGACAGCAGAATGCGGATGTGATGTAATATACATAATTTTCACTTCCGCATTCTGACAGCGGAGAGGGGGCCGGAAAGGTGATTGTGTACTGATCTCCCTCTGATCCCATGTCACAGAGCCCCCATGCTGGTCCTGGGCTCGCGCTGGGCACAGGGGAGCCCGAGACCAGCGTGACAGTGGGAGAGGGGCCTGCGGAGGGGATAGTTAAAAAAAGGATAGTTACCGGGGTTACATAGTTAGTCAGGTTGAAAAAAGACACAAGTACATCGAGTCCAACCTATAGAAAGGTTCAGACAAAACATATCAGACTTCCACTTTTATTCGTATGGTTTATACCAAATGAAATAAAAGTAATAATAATACTTATTATTATACAGGATTTATATAGCGCCAACAGTTTGCGCAGCGTTTTACAATATCAGGAAGATATTACAATCACAATACAATCCAAGACAGGATGGTAAGGAGGGCCCTGCCCCTGAGGGCTTACAATCTAAAAGGGAGGGGCCAGTGATACATGAGGAGGGAGCTGTGTGGGGATGAATTGTCTAAGAACGTGATGGTTGAGTGGTTAGGTTAAGGTAGGATAGACTTCCTTGAAGAGTCTTAAGGGATCACCTAAAGGCAGAGTAGGAGATAGATGGACAGGGTGAGGTAGAGAGTTCCATAGGATGGGAGAGACTCTAGTGAAGTCCTAGATGCGAGCATGAGAGGAGTTGACAAGGGAGCTGGAAAGCAGGAGGTCTTGGGAAGAGGGGAGGGGACGGTTAGGGTGATACTTTGAGACAAGGTTTGAGATATAGCCGGGGCAGAGTTGTGGATGGCTTTGGAAGTGATTGTTAATATTTAGAATTTTATCATTTGAGAGATTGGAAGCCAGTGCAGGGATTGGCAGAGGGGAGCGGAGAATGGAGCCCAGTGCAGGGATTGGCAGAGGGGGGCGGGGGATGGAAGTCCAGTGCAGGGATTGGCAGAGGGGGTCGGGGGATGGAAGCCAGTGCAGGGATTGACAGAGGGGAGAGGAGAATGGAGCCCAGTGCAGGGATTGGCAGAGGGGTGGGGGGATGGAAGCCAGTGGAGGGATTGGCAGAGGGTGGTTGCAGACACTGAGCGGTTGGTTAGGTGAATTAGTCTAGCAGCAGCATTCATGATAGACTGAAGGGGGGAGGAGCCTGTGTAGTGGAAGGCCAATAAGGAGGGAGTTGCAATAGTCAAGATGAGAGATAACAAGTGAGTGGATGAGTAATTAAGCTTTTCTGATTGCAGAGCTACAGGTCTGACTCAGCCGGGGGTCATGTCAGACCACTGCAAAGAGACCACTGCTTCCACACAGAGAACAAAGGTGCTTCTCTGCAGCATGCTGGCCACAGTGTGCAGGCACAACTACAGACTCCATAGAGATGAATGGGCTCCAAACATTTAAGCATTTGTATATATGTAAACACTGATTTATTAATACATTATATGGAAAGGACACAAACATTTTCTCAAAAACACTTACATCATATTACTCAGCAATGTTACTCAGCCAGGCTTGCTTGCTTTTATTACCATTATACTTTTTGAATATAAGGCATTAAGAAAAAAGACAAGAGCCTTCACTGGTCTATTTTACAGTTCTGCTTTGAAAGAGAGATCAGAGACTACAAAGTCTCTGATCAGACTACAAAGACTGCAACTGTCTGGCTTAGTCTGTTAGACACAGGCTACCAGCAAGCGAGGACATTTGTATTGGACGGCCTTACATACCTTCTAATGTGAACGCTACGGACACTCCTTGTGTAAACATTCAGAAAATAAATACTGCATACAAATAATGAAAACAAACAATGTACAGACTTGTAAACTTTAAAGATAAATTCCGTCCTTCCCTTCAGTCTTGCACAGTTGTACCGGCTCCTCTCCTGGACTGAAACGGCTTCTTCTGATATCACTGAACACTGCGAGCTTCTGGCAATGGAGGTTTTTCTTACCCCGGAGATAGACTTTAAGGCCAGGAAACGAAAGACTATCCTATGTAGGTTATTTAAATCCATATTATAATCAGAAGAGCAATATGATCCATGGACTACCTAGAGCAAGTCATCCAACAAAGGTAAGTCAATGTGGTATGGGCTACCTACAAGCAAGTCGCCCCAAAAAAGTGAGCTAATGGGATATGGGCTACCTAAAGCAAGTCACCCAACAAAGGTAAGTCGATGTGGTATGGGCTTCCCACAGCAAGTCACCCAACAAAGTCGAACCGCTGTGACATGAGCCTTCCAATAGCAAGTCGCCCAACAAAGGAGAGTCGATGTGATATGGGCTTCCCCAGCAACTTGGCCAACATGGGTGAGCCGATGTGGCATGGGCTTTCCAATAGCAAGTCGCCCAACAAAGGTGGGCCGATGTGGTATGGGCTTCCCACAGCAAGTCACCCAACAAAGGTGAGCTGATGTGATATGGGCTTCCCACAGCAAGTCGACCAACAAAGTCGAACCGCTGTGACATGAGCCTTCCAATAGCAAGTCGCCCAACAAAGGAGAGTCGATGTGATATGGGCTTCCCCAGCAACTTGGCCAACATGGGTGAGCCGATGTGGCATGGGCTTTCCAATAGCAAGTCGCCCAACAAAGGTGGGCCGATGTGGTATGGGCTTCCCACAGCAAGTCACCCAACAAAGGTGAGCTGATGTGATATGGGCTTCCCACAGCAAGTCGACCAACAAAGTTGGGCCAATGTGGTAAGGGTTTCCCCCAGCAAGTCACCCAATAAAGGTGGGCCGATGTGCTATTTACTTTTGAATCATTGCGTTTCCTGTTTCTTCATTCTCTTAGGCAGTCGGTTATCAGTATTCTAGTCTGTGTACTAGCTCTGTGTATTAGGCAGAGAAGAACTGGATGGAACATCACTAATAGGAAGCTTCAATGTTATTAATACTCGGGGGTAGTGTGATCCACCAAGGGCATGAGTTTTGTCTGTGTTATAAGGATGACTCTCTGGGCTGATGAGCCTAATGAATGAGCTGAGTTCACCACTGTGGTCCTACTGATCTTAAAGTTTGTGCTAAGTGGTGATCTGTGAGAACGTCATCATTTGTAGTGTCACCAGAATCTTTTCCGCTCCGCTACAATATGACATGAAGAATAATCCTGGAGATCCATCATCTATGGATAATCATACAGCTCTGATTTGTGTATTACTTCAAAGTCATCTAATTCTATAACACTTGACTCTTCTATATGTGGTAAGCAAGGGTCTGTGGGAGCCATACAATCATTTCTAATGTCATCAGACTCCTCCCTCACATCAGCCTCAGGCTCCTCCCTCACATAAGCCTCCTGTGGGGAAGGATGCTGCTGTTGGTTATCCATTATAACATTATCTTCAGGTGGACAGAGCTGATCCATCTCATCGGGCTCTGATTGCTGTATCTTTGCAGTTTGTGGCGCTGCAAGAACAAAAAATCAATAAATGTTTAAAATACAGTATAGGCGATTATAACATCAAACACAAATATGTATTGCGAACATTAGAACTGGAAACCTAGGAAATGGTTAAGTTCAAAAATGGTATGTGTGGGTTAGGTGCCTTTGTTTGACTGCTTCGGCTAAGGCCGCCCTGGCTATTTGCCTCACTTCAATACGTTATACCACATATTCTATCCAAAGATGTCAGAGCTCTAAACTGGAAAAGAGTCATTTGAATTATTCGTAGATGTATCCAGGAGCAGAACAGTTTTCAGACACCATCAATCCAGCCAAAGAGTTTTTCCTTTGATCCGGATATAGCCAACCAACGAACCAGCGCATAGGCTCAGTAAAGGCTTAACATCCACAGCGGTTAAGAAAAGCCGAGATAAGGATACTTCATCTCCTGAACCTATTGCAATTACAGCTGGTCCGCGTTATGTTAACGATGATACTATCCCGGGTCTTTAGATTTTCATTCTTAAATGGGGAACAACACTGTTCAGAACAAAAAGTTATATACCATCGATTCAGTTAAAGAGGTTTTCTTTCCTTTTTCGTTTGCTCCGGATACAGCCACCACACAACCCAAAGCATACGTTCAGTGAAGGCCTACTTCTATAGTAGAAAAGAAAAGCCGAGATAAGGATAAATATCTCCTGAACCATTCGCATCTACAACTGGGTCCATGCACATCAGTGGCTAAATTACTTCGGTCTCCTGATCCTGATCCTTAAAGGAGAACTATGAGGTGAGTGCTTTTCACTCACCTCATAGTTCTAGCTGACCTGTGACAATGAGACTGTCACAGGTCAGCTCAGTAGATCGGGAGGTGAGCGAACACCTTGCCGGTGTTCGCTCACTTCTCGATCCTGTCACGGCTCTCTGCCCTGACAGGGGAGGGGATGGATTCCCCCCTCCCCGCTCCAATCCGCCAGCGCCACTGACTGGCGGAGCGGACGGGGGAGGGAGCGGGTACAGCTGGCTCTGCCTCTAGATAGGTAGAGCCAGCTGTCACTCACGCAGCTGGGCGGATCGTGACATCGATGTCGGGATCCGCTCCGGCTGCGGCGTCTCAGTATACCGCAAGCTGTAGCTCCCTATATACTGTGCTTAGGGTGACGGTAGGACGCTAGTTTGTGTCCTCACGTTACCCTAAGGAGAACTATGGGGAAAAGCCCTGACCCCATAGTTCTCCTTTAAGTGAAAAACACATTACTGTGAATGCAACTTATACTTTACAATTCAAATGAAACATTTTTGACTTTATTTTTTCTTCCTCTTCTTTCATACACGTGTATGTCAATTCTTTGTTTGATCCAGGAGACTGACATTCTTTTTCCAATTGTGGAGCTCTAGATACACGGATATTTTCCTGACATTTAGTACCACGGTGAATAGATACCAAGGCTTCCCAGGGCGTGCCTTATACTATTCTCATATATTTATATCCACATATATATATATTTTTTTTTCTAATATTGAGCCGATAGCAATCATATGTGATATTTTCATGTTTATTTGTCTTTTTGATACGTATGCATTTTTAATAACGTTTAGAAATAAATTCACTTTTATGACAATTTGTCCTACACTTTGTAACAATGGTGGGATCCCCCTCTGGGGACCAATTGTAGTTTTGCAACATAGGTATATCTGTATTTAAGCGAGTACTAAGACACTTATTACACACCTGATCTGTGTCTCATGTAGAAGAATATTCCCAGAAGAGTTGCTAATAGAATGAATACTGCACAAATGATACCCACGATCAGGCCAATGTTGAGATCTTCTGAAAATAAAGAGATGCAAAGGATAAAACATTATTTAAATCTGGAAAACCCAAAAAGATTGTGTAAAATTCTACTAGTACTACGTAAATTTCTTGCAATTTCCAATCTAATTTATGTTTTCTGGAATTATAATCAGGATCTCATATACATTTCATAGAATACAACACACAGTAATCATATAAAAGAACACTAAGCCATACTTTGAATGTCGAGTTGGAAATCCTTCCTCATAGGCTCCAGCAGGGAGGTGTGTAGGACTCTGCAGGAGAAGGTCCTATCCCGGTCACCATCGGACGGTGTGATTGTCACGGTGCTGAGGACACTAAATGTTCGATCGTCATTTAATGTGATTTCACCCAGTTCTGAGTTTTGTAGAAGTTGCTCATCCCCCAGCCATGTAATCTTGATATCCGGGGGGTAGAATTCGGTGGCTGTGCAGGTCATTGTGCTCGCTTTATTCTCAGTGACAACTTTGTTCGTTATCATGACTTTTGGTGAAGCTATTGAGAAGAACATATTGTCAGTTTTTAGGTTGAATCTAATATATAACACATTTTAAAGGCTCAGCAATATAAAATCTGGCAGAGAATCTAACTCTCCAACACTAAAAAAAAGTAAAAGTGTTGGGTAGACTTTGTTATGACCTTCATGCCATGACAGGCCGATGCAATTGTCACACAAGACATGATGGGTTCCAGATTTTTCTTATGAAGAAAGTAAACTTTCATCATTGTCAATGTGATGTGGTCCTTCAATTTTCTTATCATTTCCTTCGATTTCCTAACACAGGCTCTTCTGAACACAGACTTCCACCTCACTGCCCTCAAGAAACATCAGCTACTTCCCAAGATCCTCTCAATATATTGCACTTTTTTGATATCCTAGCTTAATGGTTAAGTGTGTGTGATGCAAGAACCATCCCTGTAGTGGACCTTGTCACTCCACCAGTGCAGATGTGCATACATGTCTTACCTAATCCTTACCCATTATCTGCAGCTGGGTATTCTTCTCCTTCTGCTCCATTTTGTACATCACAGAACATGTATAGGTCCCGTCATCGAAGATTGTGACGTTAGATATATATAGAGATGCATCTCCATTTCTCGCAGTTTGAGCATTAAATGACATCCGGGGGTGGATGATGAGGCCTTCACTGCTGAATGTGAGAATTTCTTTCCTCTTGAAATACCATTTTATAATAAAGGATGAAGGTTCTACAGAAGGTCCATCCACTAAGAATGTGCAGCCAAGGACAACATTAGAGCCTCTGAATGTCCTCTGAGTAGGAGAAATTAAAAGTTTCATAGCTGCACCTGTGAGGAGAGTAAGGAAGAAAAATAATGTAGACTTTACATGATGTTCTAATATGGAAGCAGAATATACCGGAGCCATTTGCTCTAACTTGTAGTTGTGAGCATCAGTAATCAGAAGTAGCACCATCACATCATGGACAGTTCTAGTGCTTACCACGCAAGGGAAAAAACAGAAGCATGGGCTACCTGCCACTGATTCAACCTCATGGTGCTCAACCTAAGTAATAACATCACTTGGGGGGGAAATGAAAGTTCAGATGGTCCATCTGCCTGAAATGTTTCTTGTTTGCATATTTTACATATTACCAGTTAAACAAGTTAATCATTAGAAATGGCAACCTAACACGCCATTCATACAGTCCATAAGGTGATTGTGTCTAATTTGTTAACTCCTCATAAATATCCTCCCCTTCTACTTTCAGGTTGGTGACTCATTATAGGCCTTTAGATCAGCATTCTTGTCTCCTGAATAGGGTTGCCACCTGTCCAGGATTCACCCGGACAGTTCGGGTTTTGAATGCTGTGTCCAGGTTTCAAGGCAGCAGAAACCCGGACACAAGATGTCAGGCAGACAGGGACAACCAAAACTAAGATAGGGTCTACTAGCCCCCCAAAGAAAATAGCTTATCGGTTTGTGGGATGTGAAAGTAAAGTTGGGCACCAGTCACTTAAAGGATTTTCTAATATTTTATTTCAAAAGCGACAAAAATGGGAGAGATGGTAAAGGGCTCCAGACATCTAAGACAGTACAGGACTCTAGATTCACTGAGCACTTGCTAGTTTCCCAGTGCTGTAACGATCTCCGGGGTCGCCGGGCCGGCCGTTTGCGTTCCACTGTGGACCGCATCGGGCCGGAGAAGCGCAGGGCAACTCCTCCCCTAATGGTGTTCTGCGCTCCCTGGTGGAACGTGGAAGGAGCTGGCGGCCACGAGGCTCCGTCTTCGCTGCCGCGGGATATTTAAACGTGCTGGGACGCTAGTAGGGCGTTCCACTATTGGGATTACACGCCCTACTACCGCCAGCTACCCGCTACAGACCAGGTTTCCTGAACCCTGCTGCAACCGGGATTTCTCACCACATAGAAGAGGGGTTACAACCCTGCAGATGGAAGCACCTTAAGCGCAAGTACCCCTGTTATTTCCTGCCTCCTGCTGGTTCTGACATTGCAGTGTGCGATACACGTGTATTTGTGTGCTGAGAATTGATTACCTACTGTGTATGGACTGCCTATGATGTTGCTCAGCACCCTATATACCAAGTACCCGTGTGTTCAAATTTGATTCAGTAATTGTTCATTGAACTACCGTTCACCTCATACCCCTACTGACCAATAAGTTATATCAGTGCCAGGCACTATACTACGGGGGTTATGGCGTAATAACCCCTCAGTATCCAATTACGCACTTTTTGTTTACTCGGCCCATGATGCGCAAATCCCAAACTCTACGCTGGTAGACTGAGGCCTGGGATTCAAGACTGACTTGCCATACTACTCCCTCAAGGGAGACCATAACTCCGCAGCTGTGATCCTATAATCACTGAGGTATGGGGGGGCGCGTGGCAAGTGCAGAGGACCTTTAAACCAATGGTGGTGGCACTGTGCATTGTAGAACCTCAACTGGTTAGCAGACCTAGCATAGAATTTCCTAGGCGACACACCAGACTTCTCTCTGAGGTCCAAGCACATCCTGGCTTCTCAGGCATCTCCAGCAGACGAAGTTCCTCCCTGGTTCTTCATCCTAGAAACAGTTTCAGACCCCTACTGGGTCCATACCTGACCAGGCCAGGTCAGACAGCTCACACATAACGTACCCTCCCCCAGGCAGGAGGCCCAGGGAGATAGAGAGTCTGACATGGTCAGACCCGGATATTTATGCTCTTCGCCAGCATGCACCACTGGCCATGGACCTCCTGGTGATTGGCCAAAGAGACACAGATATCCATAATACTCCACTATTGGCTGCTCTGCCCTGTGGCAAAGTTACTCCCAGCAGCAGGCAAATGCAAACAATAACAGAGCACTTAGGCCTGGTTCACACCTGTATGTTTTGTAGCGCTTCAACGCTCTACGAACGCTCTACAAAACGCTCAAACATTTATTTGCAAACATGAAAATCCCATTGTTTTCTATGGGTATGGTTCCCACCTTGCCGTATTTCAGCCCGTCTGAATGCGCTACAAAACGGCCTACGCCTGAAAATGTACATGAGCTTCTTTGCGGCGTTTTTGTAGCGCTTTTCCATTGGTATAAAACAAAGTAGCAAATCGCTGTAAAACCGTGCATCATGAAACGCGCGACTAACGCGCATATTCGATACGCCTAGGTGTGAACAGAGCCACAGGGAAAGCCAAATGAGCACTACTATCAATTGCACCTGCCCAGTGAGCAGAGGATCGGAACAGACAACCTTCTCTCCCAGGTTCGCTCCTCTGCTCAGTGGGTGGGGATTTAATAGCCAGTCTGGTATTGGCTATTTTAAATTAAAACAACCAATAGCAGTCTGGCTTTTGCACCCGGCTGCTTACACCCATCTGTCCCCTGCAGAAGCTACAGTGTTTCCCCGAAAGTAAGATTTGGGGATTGTGCCGCGGGAGGGGGGTTGGGGGTGCAGGTAGCTGGTCTTGCCTAGGGTGAAAAATATTCTAGCACCGGCCCTGCCTGAAGGGTTCATCTTAGGGACTCTGGGGTGATATCTCCCTGTCATAGTTCCCGGTTATGTCCTCATCCAACTAGGAATTCTGGATGTTTTGCCCACTTGTTACATTCTAGTATGAAACACTGAATCCATCTGGGAGAGTAGGAGACCCTTCTAATGGAGAACAGAACTCAGGGCTGAAACCCGACAATCTCATCACAAGAGTTCTAACACTTCAATATCATGCAAACACGGAAGAGATGAGGGTAAAGGTCATCTCTGATTCCAATTCCCGGGAACAGAGATGGTGCAATAGTTCAGAACAGTCAGCACAGCTCTACCATGACTGCGCAGAACAGACTATGAGACACCCCTACTATATATTATATACAATCTCCTCAGTCACATGAACACCCCAACACCTTCTACATCTCCTATATGAAAAAAGGACCACTTACGAGTCTGGTGTAGAAGGAGAAGCAGCAGAATTCCCAGAAAAGACATAACTGCAGCCTCTCGTCTTCATGGGTTCCGAGGATTCATTCTGCTTTCACTTTCCTAGGAAGAGCCGGGCTACTGGCAAACTTCCCAACGTTCCGAGATGAGACAGCGGGAAGCTTTATTTAGCAAAGAGTATGTAGACACAGGACACAATACTGTCAAGATATTAATTTATTCTTTCATCCTACCATTCTGTACTCAGGGAGTCTCCGGTACTTTTATAAATAAGGCCCTGTGTGTTCACAGTTAAAGGGGAACTACAACCTCCTATCCCTTACAGCAGGGATAGCAAACCTCCGGCCCTCCAGCTTTGGTGGAACTACAAATCTTATGAGGCATTGCAAGATTCTCACAGCCACAGGCATGACTCCCGAAGAGAGATGCATCATGGGATTTGTAGTTTCACCACAGCTGGAGGGCCGGAGGTTTGCTACCCCTGCCTTACAGCCAAGGAAGGTGCCATCTTGGCCTCTCTTTGGGTTGCAGATGACATTGTGCTGCACATGTGATCACCTAAGACACCAGCTACGAGGACTTGAAAGTTCCGTTGAGAGCTGAAAGAAGGACAACCCTAACAATATGGACAGCACAGTGGCGTAGAGGTTAGCACTTCATCCTTGCAGCACTGGGGGTCCCCAGTTCAAATCCCAGCCAGGGAGTTTGCATGTCCTCCCTGTGCTTGTGTGGGTTTCCTCCAGGTACTCCAGTTTCCTCCCACACTCCAAAGACATGCTGGAAGGTTAATTGGCTCCTCTCTAAGTTGGCCCTCTATGTATGTATGCATGTGAGATAAGGACCTTAGATTGCAAGCTCCTTGAGGCCAGGGCAGGGGCGGACTGGGCCGGGGGGCAGGGTGGCAATTGCCCCCCTGGGCCTCTGTGCTGCCTTTAAAAATGGCTGCTGCCTTCTTGCCCCCTGGGCTAAAAGTTGCCAGTCAGCCCCTGGGCCAGGGACTGATGTGAATGTACAACTGTAAAGTGCTGTGTAAATTTTCTGCGCTATATAAATACCTGAAATAAATAAATAACAGTTGGCATGGTAACTGGTTTGGCAGACATTGAATTGGTGGGTAAAGTTCCTCTTTGAAGTGTTTGTAGAGCCAAAGCTATGCACAGTTATGCATAGTGGAGAAGGATTGGAACCCCTTTCAGGTTTTCATTGCTGTCCCTACCCATGTTGGGGAGATTCGTCTTTCTATTTTTTTCCTGGTGACCATTCATACAGAAATAAGTACTCTCCTTGTCGCACTCCTTACCGATATGTCCCTTGTAGTGGGGGGTGCTCGCAGTGACCGCGGATGGCGCCGCGAATGTCAGCAAAAATGTAGAAATGTCACCAGCACACCAGTCCTTTTAAGATAGCAAAAGCTTCATTTATTGAAGTTTTTTGTCATATGACCAAACAAGCGCTTTCGGGCATCGTCAATGCTAAAGCCTGATGAAAGGACCCTGCGCTCTGAGATTTTGCGTACTTTTAAAGGGTGCTGTGACTAAAAAAAGGTTGAGAAACGCTGGCCGGACGACCGTGTTAGTATAAAAACTGAGAGTGGGAAGTTTGCTGCATACTTGCAACGGGTGGAATTCCCCATCATGGTCTTTTTTTCCTTATTGTAACAAGTGTATTAAATGGTAACAATTCCCCTGCAGTGTATTTGCAGCGTGCAGTATATTTGCAGCGTGGGGTGTATTTGCAGCATGCAGTATATTTGCAGCGTTCAGTATATGTGCAGCGCGGAGTGTATTTGCAGCGTGTGGTGTATTTGCAGCGTGTGGTGTATTTGCAGCGTGTGGTGTATTTGCAGCGTGTGGTGTATTTGCAGCGTGCGGTGTATTTGCAGCGTTCAGTATATGTGCAGCGTTCAGTAAATGTGCAGCGCGCAGTGAATGTGCAGCGTTCAGTGTATTTGCAGCATGCAGCTCTGCTATCACCTCCTCCCATGTGAGGAGGAAATGACTGTGTAACTAGTGGCGGGGACGGGTCTACAAGGGCGGAATCTGGCAGCTGACCAGAAGAGCAAAAGCAGCTCACACCCTCCGCTTTGTAATGTACGGAATGTCTGTACGTGCCAGTCGGAATGTCTGTACACGCCGGTCGGAATGTCTGTACGCGCCGGTATTAGCAGAGCCGGAGGACTGATGTGAAGCTCGATATGGAATAAAGGAAAAGTAAGGCCTGGAGCTATGGAAAGCAGAGGAATGAGTGGAAGGCCGGCATGACAAGGCTGGGAAGGGGAACGAGGACAGGAAAGGGTTAAGGAGGGATAGAAGAAAGGGTAGAGAAAGGTCACTTACTTGATTGGTGGAAGGGGTGGTCCAGGAGGGGCTTCAGGAAAGTTAGTCAGGAAGGAGGAGTCCGGAAGGTCAGTTGGGAGTCCTGCATAATGTTATTTATAATGTTATTTATAAGTGTTTATAATAAAAGGCTGCTGTGGCCATTTAAACTCCCGTTGTTGTGTGGCGTAGTTATTGGTAACAGGGTAAGGGGGGCTTGGAGGGAAGTGGGTAATGTAAAAGGGACCTCTGAGCTACCTTAGTCATGGCTTATGGAGGGAAATTGGACTGTTCTGTAGAAGTGAGCTTCCTTCCTCTAGAAGTAGGTGGAAACATTACAATGTGAGCTGCAGAATCCTCCGCCATTGCTGTGTATATAATACAATGTCACACTCATGTTTTATTTCACACTGAACTGATACTTATTGTGGATGAACCTGAGAATGTGAAATGAAACATCATCAGCTCAGAATGGATCATTGTATATCACGTTGCTGACTGGCAGAGCGGCGGTCGCACTCACATATACTCAAATGTAAATTGTGTTTTCTGTTAGTTTTGCATTATTATTATTATTATTATTATTATTGCAGAGATTACATTGAAGTAACTGTTGATGTACATTTCCCATCCCTACAAAATCCCTCTTCCAGAATCTTGTTATTGTACTTTATAGAATGGTTTAGTGGCGTAAAAATCGCCATAGCGACCCAGGCGGCCACTATGGGGCCTGGGGCACAGGAGGGCACTGCCAGGACATCCCCTGATGCCATGCAGGAGTCTAATGAGCTCATCCCCTGATGCCATGCAGGAGTCTAATGAGCTCATCCCCTGATGCCATGCAGGAGTCTAATGAGCTCATCCCCTGATGCCATGCAGGAGTCTAATGAGCTCATCCCCTGATGCCATGCAGGAGTCTAATGAGCTCATCCCCTGATGCCATGCAGGAGTCTAATGAGCTCACCTCTTTGTCACTCTGCTCTCACTTCCTACCAGCATGCTACTTGCACTGAACCATTATTGCTTCTTCTTCTCCCAGTCAAGAAGCTGCTACCAGGTCAAATTTAGGTACTTACACTGCTTGCATTAAAAAATAAATTTAATGAGGTATTAGGGCTCATTTGCATGGCCACAGAGGGCCGCACATGCGTGTGTTTATCCACCTGGGAGCCACAAGTGTTCTGAGTAGCTGCAACCAGCAGTCTGTATAAAGAAATCAATGGCAGCTTTAACCACACAACTTTCCTGTTATAGGATTAGGGTGACATTGGGAGTTCTTGATGACATCAACATATATATA